CTGACCTTTTCTGCTTGACTCAGACATATACTAGATATTGCAAATAAGGGAAACCATGGGACCTATGTTTCTTTGGGCCTGGCTTACTTCACTTAATATATTAAGTGATGTAATTTTTAAAAAAGTTTTGCAAGTCAATCCCTCCTGGTTTTGTTTCTGCAACATTTCCATTACAGAAGCCACATCACATTTAAAGATCCCTCCTTGTTTTCAAATTTGATGTTTCTTTACAGCTTCTCAAACTCCCTGAGCCTGAACGTTAAGGGTTTAACATTGATTTCTTCCCCATTGCCAATACCTATTGAGAGACAAAGCTTGTCATTTTGTTAGTCTATGAAAGCCACTCTTCTATTTTTCTTATTCAGTCAATGATGACTTGGTCTGTGCTTGGTGGTTTCAAAGTACTGAAAACAATGGAGATGACTCTGATTTTTTTCTGGGCCCTCAGTGCCTTGATGATCTTCACAGTCCAACTCTTTGGTGTCTCTACGGCTCATTTCCTTAAGCCCTGTCAGGACTGAGCTAGAAAGATAGGTATCTTCTCTCTATGGGTCACTCTAGTGCCCAGAATCACCTTTCCAACCCCTCTCTCAGGAGGAATACCTGCTTAGTCTTGCCCTGTGAGATTTAGCCTGTCCACTGCCTGTCTTCTTTTCAGAAAAAAAATTAAACTAGTACAAGAAAAGGGCTGAATTATTTCCCTCATGTCTTAGGGATTCCAAGGTTTGTAAAATGGTCACATATGAAGAAAAGCACCCCAACATGAAAGGTGGTAGGAGAGACAAGCCACATAGTGGGGGGGAAAAATCTGAAAGTCAGCTAGAGGCAGTTGTTTGAAGAGCTGAGGTCAGCTTGGTGGCTGGGCATAGGGCAGTACAACGACAACCGTGTGGTTGAGTTGGGTGAAAAGCTAGAGAAGTATACTTCTCCATCAGACTAATCTTGCACCTCAGTCTAGGTCTTTCAGCCTTATGTGTTTGTTCCAACAACCTTCACTCATTAAAAAAATCAGAAATTAAGAGGTCAAAACAGTGATTGTTTATCTGACCATTTTATGGGTGCTACAGTTTAAGATCTTTACCTTAATGGCTAAGGTCATGGGTATGCCAACCCACAAAGACTTGTTCATAGCCTATGTTTGTCTTGGAACCAGTGGAGGTATTGGAAGAAAAGGAAAATACTCAGAGATAGTGGGGGAAATGTGATAACAGTAATTACATAAACTTGCTCTCTCTCTCCTTCCTTCCCAGCCTCCAGCTGAAAGGTATTTCGATCATGGTTAACTATTCCCAGAGTCCTTTTTCATGGCAATAGCTGAAAGGACTATATAAATAGCTAACTACATAAACCAGACTTAGAGAAAATCCTACTGTGCATGCAGTTGCATATGGCCTTAAAGAGCAACAACATGAAATGCCTTGTAAGTACATTTTCTAATTTCAAACATGAGTGGTTATATTCTCACAGTCAAAATGGCGAAGGAAAACTTCTCACCTCTTCTTGATCTCTTTGAAAACCCCAGAAGCAGTTTTATTGGTAATTCTCTCTATTTTAGAACATCTGAGTGAAAAGACTTAGCCACAGAAACTAATAACTAATTTCTTAGAGATCAAGAATCTTTGGAGATTAGGTAGATACTGATATTTTCAGGTCTTATTTTGCAGAGTTTATCTTAAATAACCAGTGAAGGCAAATTTCAGATATATGGTATCAACTTGAATATGGTAGCAAAATAATCTTTTCAAAGTGTTAGCAAAATGATCACCCCTCTGTACATTATCTTATAATGATAAAATATTTAATAAATGTATTAGCTTAAATTAATTGAAAGTCATATGGTCTTGTCCTCTGCATGTCAACTATCTCTGGGACTGACTTCACCATGTTAAGTCAATAGCTATTTCTTTTGCCTTGGAGGATGTGTCCCTCATCTTTTATTGTTGCAGTTGCATGTGGAATATTGCATAATATGCTGCGAAGTTGGGGGAGAAGGACAGTTCCTCTCAATTCTCACTGACCTGGTCAGTGCTCTTGAGCTTGGTGAGCCTTAAATACACCACACAGTAAACCATGGGATGTGGGCAAGAGTGGGTTGCTGCACTTTCCCCTCCCCCATTCTGTTCCCATTTCTTGTTCTCTTTTATTTACTCTCTAATGCCTGAAATTCCTTCAGTAGAAAAGGCAGGCCACACAGAGGGGAAATGATGAACTAGAAATAATTACATTCATATATTTTCTATTTCAAATTAAACTGTAAATATGGACACATTATCAGGCACAGAGAGAATCTAAAGGAAATGAAATCAATAAGCTGTTAGTTTCCAGAAGTGTGGTAGATGAGTAGCAGTTAGGGCCAGGCCAAACATGTGATTTGGGGTTTGTACGAAGAGCTGTATCAGAGAGAATGTCCAGTAGTCAGAAGTAGAGACGGAGGTACAGAAAAGAAGACTAAGGATTATGTCAATCTTTGTATTTTGACCCAGAATGGTCTTGCGCTATATGCAAGATTAAGTAAACAGGTGGGTCACCTAATATTTAACCCAGTGACCAAAAGCAGAAGCCACATTACGAAATATCCTTGAATGAACAATAATGTTTCTCCTTCTGAATAGCTAGCATACTCCATTCCACTACGCTGAACCACATAGTGCCCCAAAATACATGACCAACTCATATAACTCATGGGCATGAGAGAAAATAAAACTTACAGATCACTTGAAGATGGCTGTGATGTCCATGGAGCTTTAGGCTCTGGACTCTGAGTTCATTTGAGGCTAAGGAGAAGGTACATTGATGTTTGTTCCCCTTTCAGATGGTAACTTCCATCCTTGTGATCTTCTTCCTAACTCCATCTCTGGCCCTGTTGGTGAGTAGGGTGGTGAGGGCTCAATCTGTCTAGAAATAGAAGTATTTCAGTAGTGATAATCAAGGGTGACATCCCTATAAACTTTTGTGAGTACTGCTTAAAACCTGCAAAAAATGGGCAAGGAAGAGGCTGGACTGTCAACTTTTTTCACTGTTGCTTGATTCCCCAGAACACCAAAGACAGCTTTCTCCTCGATGGAGCTGATGGGACTCAAATCATCCAGGTTGACGCTTCCCGAGGTATAGTCAGCATCCGAGACAACAATGCATTTAGTGAATGGGATGGAATCTTGGACTACAAAAATGTAAGATGTGCAACATGTTCATAACACTGCCAAAGAAAGCTCTTTCTGGTCCAAAACATAGCTTACTCCTTTTCCAGGGAGAATTGGAGATTGCCTACATTGGCCTTCAGTATGTTTAGGTACTTGATGGGAATGCATGTCTTTAGGTAAGGGACCAGCTTTTTTTTTTTTTTTTTTTTTCAGATGTAGTAATTTCCTTTTGAACCAGATCCTACTCTTTGGCCTCGGCATTCAGAATGTCTTTAAAGAACCCCATTTCCTACAACTGGGATGGAGCATAAAAGTTGTCCTGGGTCCAGATTATAATGTTTGTTTCTTTAAAAAGAATTTTGCATTTTATCTTAACAAATCTATCTCGAACTAGTCCCTCTGCTTAAGTAGTAAGACATAGCTGATAGATGCAGGATCAGGGAGGGAACATCTATGCCTTGGGCTAGCTCTCTGATAGAAATGCACCATAATCACAAAGATATCACAGACCATCTCTGAAAAACAGCACTGACAGCTGCTTCCCTGCCTGACAGGAATCTGAAGGCTGAAATTAAATTAAAGCCACACCCTTTCTCTGGCACAGAGGTCCACTGCTATCCAGCTCCTCTTCATCCCTACTCTTCCACTCTTCTCAGCCCACAGAGGAGCAGACACCTCATACACAGTCATCTTTTCTACTCCTGCCTCTTACTGTCATGTTCTTTCCCCTGATCACCTCCCTTCCTCTCCACCAGCCCACTCAGAATTCCTCAACAAAATGTCCCCAAAATGCTCCAAGAGATTTCCAACTCCATTATTACGCTATGAACACTTTTCCTCAACATAATATTCCACAGTGGGCCACGAGGTGGCAGAAGGCAGTCAAAACTCTTGCTGGAGAGAACTCCCTGCATGCAGGTGCATGGTGGACACAGTTAGACCCCACTGCAGAAGACTGCTGCTCTGATCAAACTGAGTGAGCCTAAATGACAGATCCAAAACAGCATGGGGGAAGGGCTTGGTCAGGACCTGTAGCCATCCTAACCTAGGAATATTCACAGACCTCTGTAATTTGGACAACACATTGTCAAGCAGAAAGCATTTCATCTCACTCTCTTTTCATGACAACTCTGGGCCAGGGAAAGGGGACTTGGAGGAATGAACCTTCTCCAGCAAGAGTAGCAGGAGACCATGCCACAAGGGCCCAGGGAGCAGCAGGGCTCTGTATGTACTGCCCATCCAGATGCTGATTCTTGGCTCTGGAGTCTAGGGCAGCACAGTGCTGAGGCTCTCTGCGTTATCATTGGAAGAGCAGTGAGGTGCCAGCATAACTGAGCGGGTGCCTGTTAATATTAATGACATGTTTCTACTGTGTTGCTTTAAGAACCTCTTGGTAGCTAAGCTGTTTAGCAAGATGGTTTGTGTGCTGGCTAAGATGGACCAAGCCATCTTCCCAAGTTTGGATGACATCAGCAAGGCCCTGGAAAAGAAGGTAAAGTGACACCAGTTCACTCCAGCCCTTTCTTGCTGTGATCCCTCCTTCACTTGGGTGTCTGAACTCAGTCAACCTCCTATAAGAATGTAGGATATAGGACAAGGGGTGTGGGAGAGGGATTCTGTGTGTGTGTGTGTGTGTGTGTGTATGTACCGATAGTGAGGCTTTGAACTTAGGGCATTGCTTGGCTTTATCACTCATAGCTGGTGTTCTATCACTCAACTTGGGCCTCCAATTTTAGCTTTTTGCTGGCTATTAGGAGATAAGTCTTCCAGAAGCACTGGCTTCAGCCTGCAATCTTCAAATCTTAGCCTCCTGAGTAATTGGGATTATAGGTGTTAGCCACAGGTACCAGGATCAGGCTTGTTCTTAATACCCATGAAATCATACCATCATCCAAAGGACTCGAAAAATTAAAGTACAATTTAAATCACATAAAAATAAAGTAACTTATCAACATGTATATTTGTAGCTGTTACTAGTGCTTGAATTCAGGGCCTGGGCACTGTTCCTTAGCTATTTCACCTAAGACTAGCATTCTTCCACTTAAGCCACAGCTCGACTTTGGGATTTGGGTGGTTAATTGGAATAAAAGTCTCATGGACTGAATGTCTTTGAACTGTAGTCCTCAGATCTCAGCCTCCTGAGTAGCTAGAATTATAGAAGTGAGCCACTGGCCCCAGTATTTGTCACAAAATCTTAAGAAAGCAGTCAAGAGTGTTCCATTCAAATATAATAAGTGTACCAAATAATTTTAAATTATTCTATATAATCACCAGAAATAAGGCAGCATCAAAGGGTAAAAACAAGGTAAGAAACATCCTGTGAACACAGGAGTTTACAGATTTTTCTAGAGTAATGTTGCCTTCTTGTGGTGAGATAGGATATTGCTGTTAAAGACTGTACCAGACAGTTGGCCCATGTGTGCACTGTCAACCTTTACTGCTGGGCCAGCCTAGCCCCAATCCTAGCAATCCATATCATCCTCCTCCCCATACACGCTACTCTGTGCTGTCTCACTGTTTCTTCTGCATCTATTCCAGGCTTCCAGTCATTACCCAGCCACCCATGGCTTGACCTACACTGTTATACCCAGCCGGGTAAAGAATTTAGCCCAGTATGGAATGCCCATCAAGGACTTGTGCAGAGCAGTCCCTGCCTACTTTGCCCAGCAGCAAAAAGAAGGTTTGCTAACAATGTAACTAGAAACTTAAGACCATGGACAAGTCAAAGTGCAAGTTGCAGTGAGAGTCTAGTCTTATTACTAGTGGGAGCTTGGGATGTATTATTAACAAGGTAGCATGAGATGTATTCTCCTTCCTGGAAAAGGTGGCTTTTTGACATGGGGGCTCCTTGAAGGAGGAATGAGCTTATCAGAAGGTCAAGGTCAGTTATCTCATCTGAGGGACTGGTCGGTTGGTGGATATTCCCTGCCTGAGCCCAGCATCCCATCATTGCTGTGCACCAGGCTAAGGAGAGGGGTCCTCAGTCTCTTTCTCAAGCATTTTGAACTTGGAAACTGAGACCCTAATGATTGTGTGCTATACTGGGAAGAGAGCAGGGTCATCTTAATGGCTGGCACCTGAGCTGGGGATGCAGAGGGGCCAGCCTACAGAGTTATCAGGTTAGGCCAAAGTCTGTCTACTACTGATCTAGTCAGTAACATCTCTCCATTGGTATGTTAGCACTCATTTACTTAACCTTAGTATACACTCCACAACCTCCTCCTCCCAGGAGGAAAACAGGAAGAAGTAGAAGGACCAGAAAATCAAGAAAGATCATTGAAAGTCAATAGAAAAAAAACTGTGAGGCGTCATTGACCCAGTGTCTACAAAGAGCCAGCAGGAAAGGATCTTCCATTTCTGCCCCATGGTCTCTTGCTATTAGATACACTGAGTACCACATCCAGTGAGGTACAAAAATAGGTATATTCGGGGCTGGGAAGTTGGCTCAGTAGTAGAGTGCTTGCCTTGCATGCTCAAGGCCCTGGGTTCGATTCCTCAGCACCACGTAAGCAAAAAGAAAAAGGCCGGAAGTGGCGCTGTGGCTCAAGTGGTAGAGTGCTAGCCTTGAGCTGAAGAGCTGAGGGACAGCGCCCAGGCCCAGAGTTCAGGCCCCACGACCGGACCCAAAAAAACAAACAAACAAAAAAAGGTATATTCTAGGCATGATTGGTTGTTTTCATTGTTCCATGTTCCTTATTTATTTATCTATCAGTTGCATGAGTTACATTAATCTTTTTTAAATTTTATTTTATTATAAAGATGCTGTACAGAGGATGATTGTTTTTTGGTTTTTTGTTTTGTTTTGTTTTGTTCTTTTACAAAAAAAAAAACACAAAAACCTCTTTGTTTTTAAAGGTACTGCCTTGGCAGTGGACCCTAATTCGTGTTTTGAGGTCCAGCTTTTGTCCTTTATGGGAATCTCCATCTGTGGTGAGATTTCTGGACTCTGACCCTGTTAGTCAACTATATGAAGAAAACACTTGCCTGGCGTGGCTGCTGGCTGGGCTGGGGTAGGTGCCCAGGGACCTGGTCTACCTTCTGCCTATGAGAAGCTGCTCATCTCAGACCTCTCCCTTCTGCCTTTCTAACCCAAGAGAGAACAATAAAGCTGCATCCATCATTGGTGTAGTCCACAGCTTCTCCTTGCCTTCCCTTGTCTTCTCTCAACACAGACAGCCATGTGTACCCCCAAAACAACACAAACAGCATGGCACAAATGATGCCTCCCCTAGGTTGTCTCCTTTGTAAGAGTCTATTGAGGCTAACCTTTGAGGAATCTCTTGAGAACTTTGACAATCAATATATAAACCAATGAAGACATTGATTGGTCAGAGGATAGACTGGACTGGCCAGACAGAGGCTGCCACTTTGTCTCCCCAGAACTGAGATTCTCAGGAAGCCCATTCCCTGAGTTGACCCAGCTTGAAGACGTAGAAACCTGCCAGAAGTTTAAGCGAGTTCCACTTAAAGATGATGACACCCTAGTAATTGTCCTAATTGCAACTTAATCAAGGACCTGGCGCTTAGCCCTCATTTTTTACCTGCCCCCCCTTCCCTTTATGGAGAAAGTCTGGCTTCCTTCTCTACTTCTTCCCTGTATAGTTACTTCGTGTCTCTGTGATCAAAATACCTGAAAGAACAACATAAAGGGCAGAAGGATTTATTTTGGGTTCTGGGTTCAGAGGGTTCGGTCTATGGTTACTTGGCTCTGTGTGCTTAAGAAGAGCATTCTGGCTGTGGAAGCATGAGGCAGAGGAGGTTCCTCACCTGATGGTGAGCAGGAAGCAGACAGACTGGAAAAGATACCTGTCTCCAGTGACACAGTTCCTCCAACTAGAGACTACCTCTTAGAGTTTTCACATCCCCCTGAAATCAGCACCACCGGCCAGGGAGCAAGTATTCATCACATGAATTTGTCAGAAGTATTTCATATCCAGTCTAGTGTCACCCCTCACCTCTCTAAAACTCCTACTGCTTACAAGCCTCGGGGAAGAGCTAGCTGGCCCTGAGCTAGCTCATCTGCCCCATGTAGAACTTCCCAGGGTCCATTTTCTGCATACTGCATCCTATTGCTTCTCCAAGGTATCAGGTGCAAAGCTGTTGAACCTGCCTTGAATGTATTCTTTGTTTGTGTTCTGTCTCATACTTGGACTGGAGACCACCATCCCCCACATTTAGCCTGTGTCCCAGCAGTTAGTCTTGGATATCCTGCTTTGTCCTCTGTCAGTGTAGGTGGGGCTTGTCATACAAGCAGTCACCCTGCCATCCACAAGGAGAGTCCCCCAACCTGGTTTTCGATACAAGACTTCATGGGCTAGAGTAATCACTAGTTGTGTGTCTGTATTTCTTGAGATGGCTATAAATGGGACAGGCCTTCTTTCTATTCATTGTCTTTTTGTGGGGAGGGCAGTTGTGGAGCCTGAACTCTGGGCCTGGGCACTGTCCCTCAGCTCTTCAGCTCAAGGCTAGCACTCTACCACTTGAGCCACAGCGCCACTTCCGGCTTTTTTCTTTTTGCTTATGTGGTGCTGAGGAATCGAACCCAGGGCCTCAGGCATGCAAGGCAAGCGCTCTACCACTGAGCCACCTTCCCAGCCCCTATTCATTGTCTTTGAAACGTTACAAATGTATCAAATTTTTTACTGAGGTATAACATGGAATGGAGAAGTTAAGAACACAACTCAGTGAATTTTATCTAAACATATATCCCCATGGAACCATCACTCAAATGAAGATACAGATCACCTGAGAAAGTTCTTGGGTGCCACTCAGGAATTGCACCTAGGGTGCAATACCTTAGCCATACTCCTGAGCTCCAAGGGAATGGAGGAGGCAGTTGGGAGCATGTGAAGATCTCTCAGCAAAGATCAAACATGGGATTCTTGAGGTGGAATCAACTTCTGAGTATGGGGACTAGACTCTCTCACTGTAGTGATAAATTTGGGCCAACAGGAAAACAGAAGCTAATAAAGATAACAAAAGGACAAGATGGTTAGCTGCTGTCAAGGTGTTGCATGCCAAGGCCATGCTCTATGGGTGGCAGAGGAAGGCTGAGGGATGGACTGCACATTAAAGGCAGTGACTGGTAAGTTCTCTTGAGTCCCTTCCCAAGGGTCCTTTCCTTCTACATGCTTCAGAACAAGTGGAAAGGGCCCACTCTGAAGCCAGGGACTCTTTTACTACTGTTTAACCTCATGCTAAGGTTTGCCATCTTAAATAGATATAGACCTCAATACCCCAAATAACTCAATTTGTTTCTGCCTGTGTAGTGAGCCCTTAATATTAACATTGCTGCAGCCTCACATATCTTCTGAGAGGTGAGGGGAATCTGAGGATAGCATCTACCAGGTAGAAGAAGTAGCAGAGCAGTAGGCCAAGCAGAGCCAATCAGTAAGTATCAAGTAACACTCAGTCCTTCTAGGTCTGAATTTCTGAATGAAAGTGCAGGAATGGGAGCTGCTAAGAATGAATGGCAAAGGCCGTAGAACTGAGAAAAATGGAGGCAACCAGTGCAAAGTGGGGTCCTAGGACATGTATGCTCACTGAGTTAGCTCTGGCCTTGTACAGGCACATATCTATAAGGAATGGTTTATAGGCAGACTCCTCCAAAACAGGGCTGATCTCTCCAGCCAGCTTAGTAACATGACCAGAGATATTCTAGCAGCTCAAATGGGTTGCTGACAATCCAGGACAGGACCTGAGCATCCAGTGGGATGACATAATTGATATTTACTTTCCTCACCCTTAAGAAAGATTTGTACGGTATTTTCACAATTTAAAAAAATGTTAAAAGAAAAAAAAAAGAAATGTCTAATGACAAGAAAATGTAAGGGAGGTGGAAGCCTGGCCTCGTGTGTCTTCCATTTGGACATGGTCTTTTTAGGCACCTGTCTGATATATTTCGCTTAACATTCCTATGGTATTCAGCCTAAACAACAGCATGGATAGGTTGACTGAGAAAAAAAAGGTAGTTCAGAGTTCTGTTTCCAAAATGGAACAAATATTATTAAAAAAAGTATAAAAATCAATAAGGATAATACATCTCCAAGTAGTAAATATCAAAGCACATCACTAGTCTTTTTTTAAATAAGTTTTTCATTGTGAGAATACTATATAGAGGAGGGGTTAGAGTTACATGAGCAAGGCAATGAGTACATTTCTTACCAAGCATTGTTGTCTCCTCCTTTGTTTTTCCCCTACCATCCCTTCCTCCCATCTCCACAACTACACTCCTCCCTACCCCACCTAAATTGTAAAGTTTGTTTTTCGACATAGCGTCTTGTACATCTCATTGTTGCAATGGGTCTACCTGTATCCCCATTTAAACAATTTGTTTTTTCCCTTCCTCTCCCCAAATTATACTAACATCAAATACAGTGAAAACAGAGGTTATACCCCAGGGGAGGGACAAATAAAGCATCAAAAAATCACATGATACCTTATAAATACGTTAGAAGCAATAGCAAGTAAGAAAAAAACCACTTGTGTCCTTATCTTGGGGTTCATTTTGCTTAACATCATCTTATCTGACCATTTCTGCTTGTCTCAGACATATACTAGTTATTGCAAATAAGGGAAACCATGGGACCTATGTTTCTTTGGGCCTGCTTGCTTTACTTAATATAATTTTTTCCAAGTCTTTCCATTTCCTAACAAGTGGGGCAATGTCATTCTTTCTGATGGAGGCATAGAATTCTATTGTGTATATAACCACATTTTCTTGATCCATTCATCTATTGAGGGGCATCTGGGTTGGTTCCATAGCTTAGCTATGGTAAACAATGCTGCAGTAGTTGGGCTGGTAGTTTTAGTATGGCCTTGTTTGTGATCATTTGGGTAAATACCCAAAAGTGGGATTGCTGGGTCATAGGGGAACTCTATGTGGAGTCTTTTGAGGAACCTCCATACTACTTTCCAAAGTGGTTGAACAAGTTTACATTCCCACCAACAATGCAGTAGGGTTCCCTTCTGTCCACATCCCCTCCAGTATCTGTTATTATTAGAGTTCTTGATTATAGCCATTCTAACTGGGATAAGGTGATATCTCAATGTTGTTTTGATTTGCATTTCTTTTATGCTAGAGAGGTTGAGCATTTCTTCATGTGTCTGTTGGCCATTCTTATTTCCTCTTCAGAGAAGTTTCTCTTTAAGTCGTTAGCCCACTTATTTATTGGGCAGTTGTTTCTTTGAGGATTTGTTGTTGGGGGCTTTAATTTTTTGAGTTCCAGGTATATTTTAGATATGAGATCCTTGTCTGTTGTATGTCTAGTGAAGAGCTACCAGTCCATGGGCTTTCTGTTGATCTTGCTAGCTATGTCCTTTGCCATGCAGAAGTTCTGCAGCTTCATGCAATCCCATTTGTCCAACTTTTTTTTGATTTGTTATGTTTCTGGGTCTTTATTAAGAAAATTTCGGGGGAAAAAAGCAACTACAAAAGAAAAAAAAAGAAAAGAAAATTTTGGCCTGTGCCAAGGAGACCTAGGGTTTCTCCTATTCTGTCCTGTAATGTTTTCAGAGTGTCAGCTTTGACTCCGAGGTCTTTGATCCATTTGGAGTTGATTCTGGTGCAGGGTTATAGATAAGGATCTAGCTTTAGTTTTCTACAAGTGATTAACCAATTTTGCCAGCACCGTTTACTGAAGAGGCTGTCTTTCTTCCATTCAATTATTTTAGCTCCCTTATTGAAGATTAGATGGCTATAGGTTTTTAGGTTCATTTCTGGGTTTTCAATTCTATTCCATTGGTTCTGAGGTCTCTTCTTGTGCCAATCCCAAGCTGCTTTGATACACCACTAGCTTTAACAGCCCTTACTGTTTCCCCACCTCAACTCTTCTACCCTTGACAAAGCAGTCAGAAGATGACTCATGTGAGCCATAGGGTCATTCCTAGGGACTTGTTAGGTTAAACTTAACTTGAAATAGGAGCTGAGAGGAATCTTTCTTTCTTGTGATGAAGCTGGGGGGCAAGACCTTGGGGTTGACAGTGTGTTGGCACTTGCCTCTTAGAGAAGAACTTCTGTAAGATGCTGAGGCTGACAGGTAGACAAGAGAGCTGAGATATGGGAAAATAGAGTCTAGTCACCATCAAGCATCTGGTTCCAGCTACACGAAGCAGAACATCCCTTTTGATTTGTAACTAGTTACATGAGACAGTAAACCCTTGTCAGCCTCAGTAAGTTTAATTTGGATTCCAACACTTGCAAACAACAAGGTCCCAGTTACAATATACTACCATTTGCTTGTCACTTTATTATATATTATTCACTGTTGTTATAAAATGTCTTCTATAAATGCCTCACTTCCACACTACTTTTTTTTGGGGGGGGGAAGGAACTAGAGAATGAACTGAAGGCCTCATGATAGCTTGGCAAGCATTCTACCATTTAAATCATACCTCCAGTGCCTTTTCCTTTATTCTTTTCCCAAGCTGACTTAGACAATGATCCTCCCACCGCTGCCACCCCATACCAATAGCCAGTATGAAAGATGTGAACTTCCATGCCCACTTCGTTTTCTGAGATAAGATCACTGTAACTTTTTTCCTGGGTGGCCTGGAACCATGATCCTCTTATCTCCTATGTACCTCCCAAGTAGCTAGAATTAGAAGGTATGCAAGATCACACTCAACCGAAAATAACTTTTAGCTTTGTACTAGCTTTGCTTTCAACTTCTTTCCTCAGTATATCTGTCCTGATGCTGGGGACACAATAAACACTTAAAACTATTCTCATGGATGCCTATCAAGAAGTATTAGAACAGAAGCTGGATATTGATAGGTCACACTGTCATACTAGCTATTATATTGAGAGGAACACAATTCCAGCCTGAACATATGCAACATCTTTTCTCAACGAGTAACTGGACACAGTAGCATGAGCCTGCCATCTTAGCAACAGTGGAAAACCTTAAATAGGAATAAGGTCTTTCAGGTATATGGCTGAGGGAAAAAAGTGAGACCCTATCTCAAAAATAACCAGTGTAAAAAAGGTTTGGAGGTATGACTCAGCACCTGTCTAACAAGTATGAAACCATGAGTTCAAACCCCAGTACTGCCAAACCAAACAAACACACAAAAAGATATTGATGAATAGTATTTAGAATCAAAGTAGTTGATGGCATACAGGACTTCTTGTTAAAATATGACTGGCTAGGCACCGGTGGCTGATGCCTATAATCCTAGCTATTCAGAAGGCTGAGATCTGAGGATCCCAGTTTGAAGCCAGCCCTGGCTGGCTCAAAAATTGGAAGTGGTACTGCAGCCCAAGTGTTAAAGTACTAAGCTGGAGCATAAAGAGACTCAGGGAAAGCACAAATGCCCTGAGTTCGAGCCACACACAACCAACTACAAAATAAATTAATAAAATAAAATATGCCTTTGTTCTGAACTTGAAGGCAGCTAGCCAGACTCTATTGAGACCCCATGATTTAATCTGGAAAATTCCCCACATGGCACAGTTATTTTTTGAACTTGGAAGTTGCTTTTCTGTTGTCTGTTTACTTAAATCCTCAGTTAGGTTGCCATTCATATTAAAATTTTCAGCTAGGCATCATTCCTAGATGTTAGATATATTCCTCCCTCCTTCCCTGTTTGCTCAAGGTCAACACAGGTCTTAGTAGTGTTTAGTTAGGTGGAGTCTACTTCTTTGGAGAGTTAAATGTCATTGTGTAAAAAGCTGTGAATGGCCTTAAAAGCTGAAGGCTTTGTTACAGGGGAGAATTGCTTTCATTTGGGCAGTCAGGTTGTTTGTTTGCTTTAAGGATATGCATTTCCTTCCTTCTTGCCAGTCAAAGTCCTCACCTGAACCCCTGCTGCACCCAGGCTGCCCAGTGCATTGGGACAGAGAAATGGGAAGCAGATTTGGTAGGAAAATGCAGCCAGAGATGGAGACCCAGGCCCAGATAGTTCATCTGCGGGTGACTCAGCTACATTAACAGAATTTTCATACATTATGCACCTTATTTGAAATGCTGGTGATTGTGTTCTATACATCAACATAAACATTCCTTGGCTTCCCCTTGTTGCTTTAAAAAAGAACAAAACCACTCACATATCTCTGTAAATATAGTCTGTATGCTTTATTATTGAGTCTCATAATTAGGTGGGATACTGAGAAAAAATTTAATTTGGCATCTGAATAGAAACCAGAGGCATATCTCTCTGAACTGATGGAAATGGTAAGCTAATCACCTAAACATGAGCACCTGCACAGATGGAAATTCCAAAGATGCCCAGCAGCCCAGCCTTTGCACAAACTCCAGCACCGGTGTTATCTGGAAAGGAGAAAAGGTTTTCAAGAAAGGCTTAAAAATATATTAGGGGACAACAAACCAATGCTTTTTAAAATATATTGACATTACCAAAGATTTTAGTTATATCTGCATTGCCATGAATCATAATATATTAAACAAGATTGACAAATTCCTGGAAGTATTGGCTAAATCCTGGTTGATGGTATGATATTCCGTTTAGGTGGCATAGCTTTGTGCCTTTATAAGTGATCATGATCACTTACTTTAATTTGTGGGTAGCAGAAATACAATGAATACTAATCTTTTTCTCTTCATCTACGTTTAACTATGCTGGAGGGTTCCATCATCGTCTGTTGAACCTGGCTACTCTTCTACATTTAAACACTTCGTAATATTCAGTAATGACTCCAGTCCACTATGTTACCTGGAAGAATCAAGACTTTTCTTCTCTTGCAGTATATTTTGCTTATTCTTGCCTGCACTATTCTGGTCCTAGATTCTAAGAGCCTTTCTTAGTGTATCTTCAACAGATGCTATTCTAAGGGCTCAGAAAAAAATTTTTTTCCTCTTCCTTGATACAAAGAATATTTTGCTATTCCATCAACTTTTCCATTAGACTATGTGTCCCAAGGAGGCAGACTTTTAGTCATTTTGGTATTCCTAACAATGAACACAATCACCATACTTAATAGGTACTTAACTCCTCCAGTCATCTACACTGAGTCATATTTTGACTTTTTGTGTGTTTCACATAGCACCTGGCAAAGTTCTGGTTACATAGGAGCTTTCAGAAAACATCTGTAAGAGGAATGATTTATTAGTACTCACGTGATTTTTCAACCAATTTCCCCTCATACAAGGGGATGTGTTCACAGAGTTGCTTAATGGGCGACCCAAACAAGAACCAGTCCACCTTGGCGATCAGAGATTGCAGTGGGTTGTACTTGACCCAAGTGTACTCGCTGGAGGTAATGGTTTTCATCATCTATTCCAGCATAACAAAACACAGCATGAGATAAATTGGTAACTCTAACAGATCTTGTTTTAAGTTGTGAAGGTTTTTCTCCTCAAATTACTAGATAGAAGACAGCCAAGTCACCCTCTTTCTGACCTCTCTGTCTGTGGATGAATTCTGTTATGTGCCAGTGTTATTTTACTGCTATTGGCAATGAAGCCCAAAGTCCACCTCTAAAGGAGACACAGATGCAAAGTTGGGAGGAGGCTAAACCCCAGATGTCTAGCCCCTGTGCAGTGTTCATGTTCAATTGTTCACACAACTGTATGATTTCTCTTTCCATCATCATATCATTGAATATTATACATTTACTCCCATTTCTAGAATGTATGGCAAGCTCAAAGATTTAAGGGTGTAAGGATGAAAATCCAGCTGGGATATCATCCTCCTCTTTCATAGATAGATGGGTAGACAGAAAAAAAAACAAACAGATGAATCCTTTAATGATGTGAGTACATGATCCATGGCAAATCATAACAGGTTCTTTCTCCTTCATTTCTCCACAGTCACCCATATTGCTTAGCTCTGACTCCAAATTACCTGCTTCTCATAGATGTACCGTTGGAGTTTGTCCAGAGCAGGGATGGCTTTATGGTCCATCTTTAGGATGTAGCAGGCTCTTCGGGAGAGCACCCTGGAGGCGATGTAGCCCTGAGGAAGCAAAAGCACAGTTACTAGCCCTCTGCAGTTCCTGGGTTCTGAAAGTAATGATACCTGAACCTTGTGCAGCAAATGAGTGTCATTGTTTTTCAATCTCCAATCAGCTCTGTCCACTCATCTTTGATATGGTATTCTCATATGTTGACTTAACCTTTCAGCCTCATTTGAGATTGTGCCAATTTATACCTACACTTAATGCTACAGAATCAAGATCTGAAGTTGAGAGTTTGAAAGGTATGGCAGCTGTCTCTTTCAAGTGACTTTATTCAGCCTCATCTGAAATTGAGAAATGAATATTTGCTTGGAAGTACTAGAGCTTGAATTCAGAAACTCATGCTTGATCAACAGGCCCTCTTCCACCGGAGCCAATGTGGCAGCCTTGGGAAATGAAACCTTCCTTAGAACTGTGCTGTATATCTTATGAACTAGTCATTGTATGGTTATTTAAACTTCAATTCAATTCCATAAAAATATTATAATAATGTAAGATAAATAAAATAAAACTATAAGAATATCTCATCAGACATTCCCAGTGCTCAGTAACTGCAAGTGGCTCAGCACTCCCCTATTAGAAAGCACAGATATAGAACAATTGCACCTGGCAGAAAATTCTGTTGGCTGGTACTAACTCTGGAATTCTCTAGAACTCTCTAGAACTCTATACCTATTGTACCCTCAACCCAAACATGCATGCTTCATCTGTTCTCCTTTCTTTACTATCTTCTCCCCATCTTTTACTCTATCCATTCCCCACTGCAAACGCAAGCAGGCTGGAGAGGGATGTGCTGGAGAAAGCTGGGATTAGAAGAGGAATGGAGGGAGGGTGAGGGTTTAACTCTGTCCACTAAAGTTTCATTTTGAATAAAAATATTCTATGCAGAGTTTCAAATAATTATATGCCCTTTAAGGTTGTACCTAACAGAAATCTTTCTAGCTCCTATTTTTCAATTTTCATAAATTTCCAGTTCTGAAAAAAAAGTCTGAAAAGAAGGTTAAAAGCGACTTAATCCAAATCATTACCATTTGATTTTTTATGCTACTTCTTGGAATTTCTAGGCCAAATGCTTAAAATAATTTTACTACCATTTCCTTTTAAACTGTATCTTTCAGAAATTCACTTTTTTAAAATGTGCTAAGGAACTTCCAACACTAGTGGGAGATAGCCTGTGAAGATTTTACTAGGGAAAAAAAGGAAGAGGGAGAAGATAATCAAGTTTAAGCATTGAGTAAGATAAGCAACAGCATACTAGTATCCATAATGGTACTGGCGCCCTGCCACAAATAAGAAGTGAATGAAGGACAGGTTTCTTAAACTTTTGGTTAATACTTGGAAGTAGTGCTGTAGCTCAACATGGTAGAGCACTAGCCTTGAGCAAAAAGAGCTCAGGGAAAGCACCCAGGCCCTAACTTCAAGCCCCATGACCAATAAAAGAAACCTTTTGGTTACTAAATTTTAGAAATGCCTTCTTAGAAAGAAGTACAAAACTATCATGTATACAGAATTAATGTGTGTGGATATATGATATATATGTTCTTTGGATTTCTGCTATTTTGCAATCTTTTTCTGCACAGTTTCATATTAGAAACTCATATTTATTTATTCATTCATTCAGCCAACACATTTTTTCAGAATCTATATGATGGCCATTGCTTTGGTCATTTTACTACTTACTTTCAGGGTCTGTAATGGGACAATCTCATCACCTTTCCAATTTCTACCCCAAAAGATCATACAAATAAATTTTTTTCTTATCTTTTTTCCCCTTAGATATAGTTGTGTTAATCAATCCCTTGGTTACTTAGAAGTTTTGAAAAGCAGAAGTGAGGAAAGTGTTTTTTTTTAATTGTAAAGATCTTAGAATTTAAATATATGGTAAATAATTATTTCTTTGCTTTTTTTTTTTAACCAGGGCCTTGCGTGCACCAGGCGGGCGCCCTTCCGCTGGGCTAAACCCCCAGCCCCTCTTTGCTTTTTAATAAAGCTGTCTTGAAAAGTATAAAATAATCCCTTAGCTGCTTACGTGTTTATAGTCAAAAATTGTGGTAGAAGAGCAGGATCCTGCATGGATATCAACAGTGGCAGTATTTTCTTGGTTGTCAATTGTCACTGTCTCTTGAATGTTGCCCCCACTGTTGCTTGGGCTGAAGACATTATAAACCTAGAATTGACAACAAAGATATGAATTTTTCATAAACTACATACATTGAAAGGCAGCCTTCCCAGCAAAATAAGACATTCTACTTGCTATCAGCTATATTGAAGGCTCACTTTTCCATTGGGATCTCAGTACAAAGCTTTTTCCACCCAGTCCATGATGCTATCTAAAGAAGCAGGACATCAAGAGAGAAATCAGATTCAACACCCTGTAAAGCCATGGGTTCCATAGGTGAAGGTGTCACAGTTGGAGAGAAATAACAACCCCATCATTTCCATTGTTGGTGATTTGTGGAATTCCACACATTTATGGACTCTTTATAGCCTTTCAGATTATTTTCATCTCCCTTCATCTCCCTTTTCCTCTCCCAACATCTCAAAGGAAACAGCTCACCTCATATCCATGAGACTGTAGCCCAGAGATGGTCAGCACCGCCAGAAATGCCACCTGAAAAACAGACCAGCCACATCCATTCCCTAGGGGATAGTCACTGAAGGCAGGAACAGTAGGGGGCACTGGAAGCCTAGGGACACTCGTGAGTGGCTATGGAGGATCCACATGGAAAATGCACACAGTCACTCGCTTAACAGACATTTTTGAGTTCATGCCATCAGTCAGACATGTGGTTTTCCCTCTGCCACCATTTTCTAACTCTTCCACATCTTCACCAACTAGATAAGAGGAAAGCTTTGCCTGGCACAGGTGGCTTGCATAATCCTAGCTACTCAGGAGGCTGAGATCTGAGGATCATGGTTCAAAGCCAGCCCAGGAAAGTCCATGAGACTCTCATCTCCAATTAACCACCAGAAAACCGGAAGCAGCGCTGTGGCTCAAATGGTAGAGCACTTGCCTTGAGCTGAAGAGCTTGGGGACAGCACCCAGGCCCTCTGATCGACCCCCACCCCTCCCCCCAAAAAAAAGATAAGAGGAAAGCTTGGGACAGATGAGGTGAGAGAAAGTATTCATTTTACAGTTGAAATACAATGGTGTGATTCATGGTAGCTTTAGATTATAGTGACTGTTATGTGTTCTGTTTGGAAATTCAGTTTTTAATTCCTGAAGACAGAGAGTAAAACATTTAAAAGACTTATGAGGGAGACAGACACAAGGAGTCTTTAAGAGAAACTATGAAAGTAGGATTCTGGAGAGCATGGTTGACTTTGGAGACTAACATCAAGAAAACCCTCCATGTTCTGCTACAACCCATTGCTAAGTGATGCTGTCTAGATGTGCTGGGCTTATAGGCTGTGAGTTGAAATGCAGGTACTTTGGATATTTTGCTGTGAGAGTGACACTGGTTTGGTAATCTCTCTTCTGAATATTGTACTAAACTGCTCTATCATTGCTAGCTACTGATGGAGGGGGGTTGTGAGAAGGACAGATATTTTTAAGAACTGTCAATGAGATATTTCTACCTTCCTTTGTGTTCTTCTCCTAAAGTTTCTGTTCTGGTGCATGGGGTTAGGAGCATCTAATTAAGTCCTGTTTGTAATTATCCAGCATGGTTACTTATGCAGGGACATGTCTTCTCTACCCTATGCCAGCTCTAGGAACTGCTGATATTCCCATATATTTACTCAATAAGAATAAGAGTTTGAACAGGATGATGGACTAACCATTTCCATAGATGACCAGAAACAGTTTGCTACCCAAATAATTTCCCACCCAACACCACAATTAACAACACATTGTGGTTATAAGTTTGTACTTTAGGTTTGAGTCTTCTCTTGGAAAATTAAGAGATCTCCTAAGATTTTTGCTTTCTCTCTTAGCAGGTGAATAACAACAAAAGGCAGAAACTGAGGGAAGAGACTGCATTCTAGATCATAGCATAGTCTACTCTTCATGGGCAAGGCAGTTCGTAACCATGGAGGCTAGAACCAGATGGAAGGGTAAGGCAGCCTTAGAAAGAATTTTAACATGATGACGTTGTGACATTATGATGACTCTCTGCTTGCTTGATTGCTCTGATAAGTAGGGCCTAACCTAGATAATTTGCATCCTAAATCACAAGGTGGGAAAAATCACATTCTTCTGTGCCTCACTCTCCTAATATATAATGAAGATAAGGCTACTTGGCTTTTAAGATGAATGCAATAAACAAATGATATTATCCATGTGAAATTCTTAGCTTAGGACTTAGAATGTATTTGGAAAACTACAGCTGCTGTTATTACTACTACTAATACTATTTTTTCAATTACTGTAATTCAGTTGGAGATAAGAAACACAATTGTCCTAAAATGCCTAAAAGAAATTATTTTTCAAATAAAAATTTTCTACTTCCAAATTTTTTTCTTTATATTCTCTTAGCAAGAATCTCAAAAAAACAAACTGACACAAATATCCAACTTAATATTCAGCTCTATTCCTGCTAAGCACACAAAGCTTAAAAATATGCATAGTATTTGCTAAAGGCCTCTAAAATCCATGATATACTAGACATGAGCATTCACTGCAAGAGAATCCACCACAAGAGAATCAAGAAACACAAATACTCACAAGGATTTTCATTTTGTCTGCAGGGAAGAAGGTGCTAGAGCAACTGAAGCAATCCAATATGCCTTCTATCCTTTATATTGGTTTTAAGATATGGAAATTTCTTTTCTCAATGATGACATCAGAAAGATCATGACATACACACACCCTAGCAAACTCTGGTATCAGAACTGAGCTCCTGATATCAACACAGTTCATTAGTAATAAAAATTCACCACTTGGTCACTCTACAAATATTCCTTGCTTATCTGCTCTATGCATACTGGAGATTTCTATTCCACCCTTTAAAAATATTGCAAAATACTCATTCTAAACATATAGGCGGGTAAGCACATAATCCTAGAATCTCCTCCTGAATGCTAAATCCTTTCTTATAACTGAATTGGACCTCCACTCTACAGCTTTTCATCTCTGTCTTGTTTGTTGGTTCATCTACCTCAAAGGGATGACATGGGTCAAGATACATTGTATTCATAAACTACTTTAGTGAATGGCTACTGCTTCGTGCAACTACTTAAAAATAATAATTTAAAAGAAAAGACTAGATATGAGATGTGAGACCAGAGGTGGACAATGTCTGGGAGCTCTGCTTTGAAAACAAGCAGCCTCTGATTTAATTTCTTCTTCCCTTTTAGAGTTGGCAACAATTTTCAACAATTTACAAGGAACAAGGTGCAGAATTACCAGGACAAACCAATTTATAATGAGCCTTGACCTAATGTCCATGGAATCTATGTGCTTTATATCGCCAGTTACCTTTAGGAACTTGGAGAAATTCTCAGGTATAAGAAAGAGATAAACATTAATTTGTATAAAGTATCTAGCATTACAGTTAGAAAGATTTAATTAAGATTAAGATGGGATGAAGAAGGAAAATTTTTTTAATTTTATTTTATTTTATTTGTGAACATACTGTACAGAGGGGTTACAATTGCATGGGCAGGATAATGCGTACATTTCTTACCAAGCATTGCAGCCTC